TCTTCCTCCTCCCATCCTGGAATCTCTATTCTCTGGATATTAAGTTTATCAATGTCTCTCAGTTCCTCAGGGAATCTCAGATATGCAGTGACTCCATTCTTCCATCCAATTAAGCACGTGGAACTACTCCATCTATATTGTATATTCTGTTTTTTTCATCTGTTCTAATAGTGGTTTCAGTGATCTTTCTCCACAATGTCTCAGCTGTCAGGTCTGCAAAAACTTGTATATTTTTTCCTCCATATATAATACTGGTTCTTCCTTTTTTATCATCTTCCATACCTCTTCTCTGCTCCATATTTATAGAATTGTACAACTACATCTCTCGGTCTCTCTTCCACCCGATCCCGTTGGAACCTTCCTATCCTATATACATTGTCCAATTCAAATATCTCAGTACTGGGTTTATCCATAATGGAGTTTAAAATTTACATATTGTCCCTCTTAGATCTTCTCCTTGTGTGAGCTCTGGGACTCCTTTTTATCCTAAGATTATTTCTCCTATGCGTATTACCTTGTATCTTCAACTTATATAGCAGCTTTTTTTTTGTTCTTTCCTCATCTCCATTATCTTTTTTTTTTTTTTCTGGAATAGCTTGGGCATGCTTTTAATTTTTTTTTCTTCAGTTTCTTCTACTCTGGATAGTAAATGTCCCAGTTCATTCCGAATAATCCCCATCTCTTGTTTAATGGATGTTTCCAAATTTTTAAACATTTCTGCCATCTCCTTTTTATTTGGTTTTGTAGTTCTCCTTCCCTCTGTTTTTGTTGGCTATTATTATCCATTTCCACAGAAGACCTGACTCTCTTATCCAAACTGTTTTCCATTATGCTCCTTTCACATACCCCCTCTCTGGGGGGATTCCTCCGGGTCCCACTCTCTTCCTTTACCCGCTCTCCTTTACAGGTAGCAGGCAGGGTGCTTTTTCTGTCGAGCCGGCCTCTCCCCGACTCCTTAGGACGCCGGCCGGCTTTTTTCCTTCCCAACACTCCTCCGTGGCTGCCACGTGGTCACGCTGGTTCTCTTCGTTGCCCGGCAACCCGACTCTCCATCCGAGTTCACCGCCAGGCGACATGCGGCTCATCCTGCATACCCGCACTCGATCATGCACTCGATCATTCAGGCGATCATTCACAGCAGCCAGCAGGATACCTTTGGGGGAAAGCGGGGGGGGGGGGGGGAGGTTAACAGAGAGAGTCTACTCTCCGCTCTCACCGACATGTTCAGGCCCCTCCCCGTCTCTCGTCCCCTCCTCCAAATCTCTTTATCCCCATATTTATGGAATTGAACAATTTATATCTCTCGGTTTTTCTTTCCCACCCATTACCTTGTTGAAACTTTCCTATTCTGAAAGCTCCATCCAATTTGATCGACTCTGTAAAATTGTAAACTCCATAATGGACAGATCTGATACAAACTACTATCTGCAAATCTTCCCCTTTTGGAATCTCTGGGACTCCACGTATCCTAAGATTTTTTTCCTCCTTTCCCTGTTTTCCTGTACCTCCATCCTATATAGCCACTTCTTCTGAACTTTCCCAATATCCGTTATCTTTTTTTTTTTTTCTAATTATGTTTTGTGCCTGGTTTTTAACTTTCTCCTTTTTTTTTTTTTTTTTTCTTCCGCTCTCAATAACTGCCCCAAATCATTTCGTATAGTTGCCATTTCTTGCTTTATTGTTTTTTCTCAAGATTTTTAAACATTTCTGCCATCTTTTTTTATTCGGTACTTTTAGTTAACTTTCAAGATCTTTCACCTCCATATTTACTCCCATTTGTTTGACTACTACTATTCATACTCAGCGATTGTCAGGGACCATCGCGACGCATGGGTCTACACATGCGTAGGTGTCTGTCAAGACATGCAGGCAGCAGGGCACTAGGACCCAGGCGCACCCGTCGTCTATGACAGTACTGGGCAGGCATTAGGACCTAGGCTGCGCCTCTCAGGTGCAGGGCGGGCTATTTAAATCAGCCCTGCACAGACACTTGTTGTCGAATGGTCTTTCTGCATATCCTGTTACCTGTGTTATGAGTACTTTGATCCGGATTATCTGACCTAGCTGTCTTCTCCTGTCCTGACCCCTTGGCTTGCCTGACTCTGCTCCTGGATGTTCCCCTTTAGATTTGATCTCCTGTTATTGACCCTGCGTGTGACCCGACCATTCTTTGCCTACTGTTTTGTACCGCACCGACCCCCTGGCTACCGACACGGCTTGTTTGACTCTGCCCTTGCTCATTCCTCCATCCATCCATCCCTCAGGGATCCCCGGGTCCCCTCACATCAGACTCTCACCCTGCAGGAGCCTCCGGCAGACTCCTCTACCACTGATAGAGATATCCGGTAGCTGCGACCTGGTCCCGGAGCGCTCCAAGTCCATCCCCACCATCAGGGGCCCTGGTGAACAAGTGCTCCGGAACTTAGACTCCGCACGCTGGAGAGGCTCTATCAGGGGACTGATAGAGGTGCTGTCGGGTGGTCCGTTACAGCGATAGTCTAGGACTATTTTCCAAACTAGTTTCCATTTCACCTTTTTCGTTTACACCTTGGGACCTTTCTGGGGTTGCATTTCCCTGGGACTTATATTTTTTGATCGTACCAGTTTGGGACCCTTTGGGCCCACTTCCTTAACATTTTTGTTCTTCATATCTTCTGTTTATCTTAATCTCTTCTATAAAGCTCAGGATAGGTAAATATTAGATTTACTGGGAACTCAGACTTGGCTTGATATATATTCCTTTACTCTCATTTCTAGTTCTCAGTCCTCTTCTCTCTCACTCCTTCATGACCCCCGGGAATCCCCCTTCTCTCCTTCGCCTCCTGCTCCTCTATATGGCACCATACAATATATAGCCTCTTGCAAGCCCCAGCCGCTCACACTCACCCTCCTTTCTTCTCCTGCCAGACGGCTCCAGGCTTCAGGTGTCAATTTCTCCACACAAGTTCAGTCCTTAGGGGGATTCTTCGGGGTCTTTTCTTCTTTTATTCCCCCATTTTAGTAGGGGTTCCAGCCAGGGAGAATGGGCTAGTGCACAAGCTTGACTTGCCTCCAAAAAACCAACTGGTAAGCAAGCTGGGGAGCGGACCGGCGTCTCCCTCTCTCCTCTGGACGCCGGCCGGCTTCCTCCCCTCCCAGCACTCCTTTGCGGCTGACCACGTGATCCCTCCGCGTCACCTCATCTCCCGGCAACCCGACGCCTCCGTCCTGGGTCCTCGCCGGCGCACTCCAGGGAGATCGATCACTGTCTCCAGCCCTCCGCGCCACAATTCCTTCGCCGGGTCCGCCAAGACCTCTCTCCTACAGGTGAGTCCCGCCTGGTTTCTTCCCTACATTAGGGGGGCCCTTGGGGAGGTCGGAAAGTGGAGCTTGTCAGAGAGCTCCTACAGCATGCCCTCCACAGCCGCCATGTTCAGGCTTCGCCCCATCCCGATATTCTGACACGGTAGCGGCAGAAATACCGGACCGGCCGCTTTATATTCACTCCATAAGACACATTTCCCCCCCCCCTTTTTTTGGGGGGAAAGTGCGTCTTATGGAGCGAAAAATACGGTAACTATTGTTGTAGGAGGCAGTTAAAGAATGGAAAGCTGTTACATGAGACTGCTAAAGATCATTGACATTACAGCCTCTTTACTAATCAGTGCTCCCGTTCCTGGCTGTTGGGTTCCAATAAGCTAAAATTCCCCAGTTACTATACCTCTGTGACAAACATAATTTCAATCTGTGCTAATGAGACATGTAAGAAAGGTGTGAGATGAATGCTAATAGCTTGATATGCATTGTTGAGCTATGCATCTTACTTTATTTTTTGTTTATTGAATAAGGCAGTCATTCGGACAAAAAGGGAAAAAAATGACCAAAAGGTTAAGCTTTTATTGTCTAACACAATTCATGAAAATACAAACTGAACATTTATCAGGGACACAGCAACTAGTCTTTTTTTCTTTTTCCAACCAGCATGAAAATTGATTGTTGGACAAGTTTCTCTCAACCTGTTTTACATAACACCTAACATTACTAGCATCAATTTTAAATTATATTTTTCTTTATTGTAAAGATATCCAGAGGCAGAGGTACAATGTAAAGGAAATAAAATGTAGATATTCCACAAGTTAAAAACAAGTCAAATACAGAGTCATATAAAATAACTGAAGCATCCATAGTACAAACAGTCATCTTGAATATGTGGTGAGATGAGGATGGTAGAAAGAATTATGGGTCTGCTGTATGATATTATGCCATAACTAGGAACTCTGGTGGGAGTACACATACATCTGACTTGTAGAAATCCCTATTTAAACTGAAGAAAGTTTAGAGAAATTTGAGAACAGAAAAATATGGGAAAATGGTGTGTTCTCAGCATTTTGCAACCAGGGTGCCTTGGCAAAATGCCTAAAAATTGTATTCAAGCCAGCAGGTGGATCAAGCCTGTCTGATAGTTACACAAGGTCATAGTTTTTCAGTGTGCACCATTACACCCTTCTAGCTGCCAGCGTCCTAACCATTGGCACCATCAGTTAATATGGAGGATGTCAGCCACATGCACAGCATCCTTGTTTGATCCTCCCCCTGCCTCCTTTCTGTCAGTAATGGGGTCAATTTAGTTGAGTAATAGAGAGAAACTGAGGGACAAGAGAAATATTGGTATACTAGTCACTATCAGTGTGCAAAAGTGTATTTGCTTTGGAATGAATCCCCTCTAACGTGTGTGTGTGTGTGTGTGTGTGTGTGTAAAACTATTTTAAATAGCTTTTTACATTTTTAGAATGGGGTGCATTGAGACTGTCCATAATGATAAAGGGTGCCTCAAGATTGTTCATAACTTTAAAGGGTGCCTTGACTGAAAAAAGGTTAGGAAACACTGCGTTATGTCATAGTTGAGCAGAGGGAACAAAAGTGAGCTTTGAAAAGTGGACTTCAAATAACTATTCGCTATGAGAGAAGGGATCAGGGAAGGGGAGACTAGCAGTAATTTTAGACACAAAAGCACAAAACGGCTAGTAAACGGTATTTGCTTCGCTATTTATTTCTTTGTTAATCCAGTTGACATAGTCTTTGGTGAGAAACGTGTAGACATTTGGTAGTTTAGGGTCCGCACATGGTTTTGAACCAAAAGAAACTATTCCCCGAAACATTTTGTCGCATATTAAAGGTCCTCCAGAATCACCCTGAAATATATAAAACAAAATATAAACAATCTACAGACTAGAAAGACATGAACAGTGGTATAGGCAGAGCCAGATCATCGACAAGGCAACTTAGGCAGGAACCTAGAGTTTGGGTGTGCAGGGGCCCAGATACAACCTGCATGCTCCTATAGTGAACCAGGCAGATGGCACTATTGATCAAAGCTGTGAACCTGCCTGTTACTTCCCATAAGATGATACATTTAAGCAGTTCCAAAGGAATATGGAAGGGGGGGAGGCAAGGTTGCTACCTTGACCCTGAACCCATTCTGCCTTAATCAGTGTTTGAGCATAAACCTGGGCATGCACACTGTTTTTTTCCATTCAGCCGACTGGTGGAATAAAACAGATTCCTTCATCAACAAAAAAATGAGGTGGATGGAGGAATCCCCATTACCGGGATATTGTAATGTATTTTGACAGCGGAACCCACCTGCTAGACCATCCAAATTTTAGTCTGTGTATGGCCAGCTTGTGAATAGTTACATTTATTTTAGATTTTGGAATTACCTTTTACAGACTTCAAAATTTAAATTTTGAACGCTAGGTATGAGGATTCATCAGTAGAATGACCATTCAAGGCAAAAGCAATCCATGAACTGTCAATGATTAGGTCAGGCAAGACTTCCTTCACTGTAAGGGCTCATTCAAATGGGTGGTTAAGCCCATCCTCCTTAGAGAGCTGCTGGCAGATGCATGTGCACCCACTTTGGAGCTGCATATAGGCAGCCCATAGGAAGCTATTCGCAGCCGTGGCTGTCAATCACCGGGTCCCGGCTGGTGATTCCCCACTGGCACCCATGATTACTGAGGATCTCCAACAGGGAGGAGGGCTCCTTTGTTTACTAACTCCTCCTCCCTTTCGGTTTGGACATCCAGAGCAGTGCGACTATAGTGAAACAGACACAACCCCCTAGTAAAACACTCCCAGCACAGTTAACCCTTTGATCGCTCCTCATGTTAACCCCTTCCAGCCCAGTGCCATTTTAGTACAGTGTCAGTGCTTTTTCCCCCCCACTGATCACTGTATTGGTGTCACTGGGGATCTCAGTAACACCAAGTCAGTTCCCCCCCAGTGTCAGAATGCCAGCCGCAGTCCCACTATAAGTCGCTGATCAACACCATTATCAGTGTAAAAAAAAAAAAAAAAAAAAAGTATGTATGTATATATATATTGACATTTGTAAACGCTATACATTTCATGTAAACCAATTAATTTACACATGTTGGGATTTTTTTTTTTTTTTTTTTTTTTTTTTTAGCAAAAGACATGTAGCAGAATACATTTTGGCCTAAACTTATGACTAACTTTTGTTTTTTTTTGTTTTTGTTTTTTTATATTTTTTACTGGACATGTTTTAATAGCAAAAAGTCAAAAATATTTTTTTCTCAATTTTTTTTTTTTTTTTTTTTTTGGCACAAAAAAATAGATGCACATGCAATCAAATACCATCAAAAATGCTCAATTCGTGGGAAAAGACATAAATTTCATTTGGGTGCAGAGTTGCATGACCACGCAATTGTCAGTTAAACTAACGCAGCGCCGTAACGCAAATAATGGCCAGGTCAAAAAGGGGGTAAATCCTCAGGAGGGCAGGCAAGTGGATAATGTCAGCCAGCATCTCTAGCCCCACTGTTTACATTTATCTGAATAGGGGCCAAGCTGGTCAATAGCTGCTAGAGATCCAGCAGCCACCAACATTCAAGAATCCACAGTCCTGAACGAGAAGCTGTCATTCATTACAGCGGTAGTAAAGCGCTTTTTCACTTGTACCTATAGGTAAGCATATAATAATGCTTACCTGTAGGTACTATCTCTTAAACATGCACCATTTAGAAGATGTTCACATTTTTAGCAGCCAGTGGATAGCATACAGTGTCATGGTAGTGACTTCCGTGCCCATGCGCAGGACTGACAAAATTGTGGCTTAGCTGTTCAAACAGCCGGAAGCCCTGGAAGCGTGACTGCACGCTGCTAGAGGGATCCTCTTTTTAGAGGGAAGTCTATCATATTGTGCTAATATTTAGGGCATGCTAGCACATTATGACACAAACCTGCAGAGGACCATATTTTGTTTTTTTTCTTTACAAATTTTACTATCACTTTAATGGTTAATGGAGGTAGTAATACTGCTAATGAATGACTTCCAGCACAGCTGGAGGTCTGATGCAGGGTAGGGCAAGCAGGTCATTTAATTCACAAAGCGCAAACAGCTGGATTTCAGGGTCAAACGTGCATTGCACTGAACCCAATTTGGCAAGTTCATCCTGAATGAGAACTATTCCATACTTACATTGCATACAGCTTTCTTTCCTCTTGCATCAAAGGTGCACATCATGTTTTTTGTGATATTTAATCTGGATTTCCATTTGTTATGACATTCCTTTCTGCTTATTGCTGTAAGGCTGACAGCCATCAGCTTGTCTGGTAGTTTCACATTATCCTTTTCGGTTGAACCCCACCCTGCTGTGTTACACACAGTCCCAGCTTTGACTTCATCAAATTTCTTTGGTAAAGGCAGAATCTGCACAGCTTTGTTTAGTTTTGCTTTGCCGGACAGCTGAAAGAGATTAAAAAAATCAAATTTTTTAAAATCCAAATCTCGAGGTCTCCTCTGACTGGAAAATGAGCTTGAGAAGTAACCATTAGGCTAGGCTCACACATATGCAGGTTGCGTTTGAGCCGTTTCCTCATTGCATTTTGTTTTTTTTGTTTTTTCCCTTGTTGCTAGGCAGATTTAAAATGCAGCAAAAACACATTAGATGCTTTAATGCAGCATTTCCATTGAAGTCTATAGAACCAAAAACACAATTTTTTGCATTCAAATACGTCCCTGACCCTTTCCAAAAAACGCACTGGGTGAAAACTTGCAGATGTGAACATGTCCCATAGGAAATCATGTTAAATGGACTGTACTGCTTTTCTGCAAAAAGCAAAATGATGCAGAAAACGCATAGGTGTGAATCATTTAGAGATAAACGGATTTTCTTTGGTTAAAATATTGGCAAAATTTGGGACATTTTTCAAATTTTCACCATAGAAATGGCAAATTCATAAGATTGCATTTGGTTTTAAATAGATTCCATAATCTATGGAATCTCCTTTAAACTATCCTGGACCTGATCTTGTTCCAAACAACCCTAACTCTTGCAAAAGAAATTTTAAATTCTACATAACTGTACTATATTTTGTATTTTACCATGTGAAACTCTGCGCGAAGTGCAAAAAAAACCTCAGATATAACAACCAATCTTCAAAATAGGAGGCTGCACATATGTGATTACAAGGCTATAAAATATGTCATGCAGCCCCTTTTTAAATAACATACAGTTGTAACAAAACCATATTAAACAGTGCCTTCAGTGACACTTTTACTTAATCATTTTCCTACCGGGCCCATTCTATCTCTTCTCACATAAATGTAAAAAGTGTCATTACTGGTAGCATGGGGCGATACCTGCACCCTACATAGGTTGCACAGGCAGTCCAACTCCTCCAGGATGGCACATCAATACGTGCCAATGCCAAAAGGTTTGCTGTGTCCCCCAGCACAGTCTCAAGAACATGGAGGAGATTCCAGGAGACAGGAAGTTACTCTAGACCTGGACAGGACCGTAGAAGGCCTTTAACCCATCAGCAAGACTGGTATCTGCTTCTTTGTGCAAGGAGGAACAGGAAGAGCACTGCCAGAGCCCTACAAAATGACCTCCAGCAGGCCACTGGTGTGAATGTTTCTGACCAAACAATCAGACTTCATGAGGGTGGCCTGAGGGCCCTGTGCCCACTGCCTGGTACCACAGAGTTCGATTAGCATTTGCCAATGAACACCAGAATTGACAGGTTCATTGGTGCCCTGTGCTTTTCACAGATGAGAGCAGGTTCACCCTAAGCACATGTGACAGACATGAAAGGGTCTGGAGAAGCCATGGAGAATGTTATGCTGCCTGTAACATTGTTCAGCATGACCATTTTGGCGGTGGGTCAGTGATAGTCTGGGGAGGCATATTCATGGAGGGATGCACAGACCTCTACATGCTAGACAATGGCACCCTGACTGATGAAATCCTTGGACCCATTGTTAGACCCTACGCTGGTGCAGTGGGTTCTGGGTTCCTCCTCCAACAATGCCCGGCCTCATGTGGCAGGAGTATGCAGGCAGTTCCTGGAGGATGAAGGAATAGCTCTCACACTTGCCTGACCTAAATCCAATAGAACACCTCTGGGATATCCTGTTTCGATCCATCTGACACCACCAAGTTGCACCTCAGACTGTCCAGGAGCTCAGTAATGCCCTGGTCCAGATCTAGGCATAAATACTCCAGGACACCATCCGTCCTCTCATTAAGAGCATGCCAAAAAGTTGTCAGGGATTCATAAAAGCACGTGGGGGCCATACAAACTACTGAGTACCATTTTGAGTTGCTGCCATGGAAGTTCACCAAATATAGACTAGCCTGCTGCATTTTTTTTTTTTTTTCACTTTGATTTTCAGGGTGTCTTTGAATTCAGTCCTCTGTAGGTTGATAATTTTCATTTCATACTTACATTCCTAACACATTACCCAGACCATATCTGTATAGATATCCAGCATGATTTTTTTTTCCCCATTGAGATCTGATGTGTTTTCAAAGTGTTCCTTTAAAATTTTTGAGCACCGTATGTACAGGTGAAACTCGAAAAATTAGAATATCGTGCAAAAGTTCATTTATTTCAGTAATGCAACTTAAAAGGTGAAACTAATGAGACTCATTACATGCAAAGCAAGATAGTTCAAGCCGTGATTTGTGATAATTGTGGTGATTATGGCTTACAGCTCATGAAAACCCCCAAATCCACAATCTCAGAAAATGAGAATATTGTGAAGAGGTGCAATATTCTAGGCTCAAAGTGTCCCACTCTAATCAGCTAATTAAGCCATAACACCTGTAAAGGGTTCCCGAGCCTTTAAATGGTCTCTCAGTCCGGTTCAGTAGGAATCACAATCATGGGAAAGACTGCTGACCTGACAGTTGTGCAGAAAACCATCATTGACACCCTCCATAAGGAGGGAAAGCCTCAAAAGGTAATTGCAAAAGAAGTTGGATGTTCCTAAAGTGCTGCATCAAAGCACATTAATAGAAAGTTATGTGGAAAGGAAAAGTGTGGAAGAAAAAGGTGCACAAGCAGCAGGGATGACCGCAGCCTGGAGAGGATTGTCAGGAAAAGGCCATTCAAAAGTGTTTGGGACTTTCACAAGGAGTGGACGGAGGCTGGAGTCAGTGCATCAAGAGCTACCACACACAGACGGATCCTGGACATGGGCTTCAAATGTCGTATTCCTCTTGTCAAGCCACTCCTGAACAATAAACAACGTCAGAAGCATCTTACCTGGGCTAAAGGAAAACGGACCTGGTCTGTTGCTCAGTGGTCCAAAGTCCTCTCTTCTGATGAGAGCAACTTTTGCATCTCATTTGGAAACCAAGGACCCAGAGTATGGAGGAAGAATGGAGAGGCACACACTGCAAGATGCTTGAAGTCCAGTGTGAAGTTTCCACAGTCTGTGTTGATTTGGGGAGCCATGTCATCTGCTGGTGTTGGTCCACTGTGCTTCATTAAGTCCAGGGTCAATGCAGCCATCTACCAGGAGATTTTTGGAGCACTTCATGCTTCCTTCCGCAGACTAGCTTTATGGGGATGCTGACTTCATTTTACAGCAGGACTTGACACCTGCCCACACTGCCAAAAGCACCAAAACCTGGTTCAATGACCGTGGGATTATTCGCCTGACCTGAACCCCATAGAGAATCTATGGGGCATTGCCAAGAGAAAGATGAGAGACATGAGACCGAACAATGCAGAAGAGCTGAAGGCTGCTATTGAAGCATCCTGGTCTTCCATAACACCTCAGCAGTGCCACAGGCTGATAGCTTCCATGCCACGCTGCATTGAGACAGCAATTGCTGCAAAAGGGGCCAAAAGCAAGCACTGAGTACATATGAATGCTTATACTTTTCAGAGGTCTGATATTCTATGTACAATCCTTGTTTTATTGATTGCATGTAATATTCTAATTTTCTGAGATTGTGGATTTGGGGTTTTCATGAGCTGTAAACCGTAATCATCACAATTATGACAAATCATGGCTTGAACCATCTTGCTTTGCATGTAATGAGTCTCTCATATATTAGTTTCACCTTTAAGTTGCACTACTGAAATAAATGAACTTTTGCACGATATTCTAATTTTTCAAGTTTCACGTGTATGTGTAATATATACTGTATATTGCCAAAAGTATTGGGACACCCCTCCAAATAGTTGGATTCAGGTGTTTCAATCACCTCCATTGCCATAGGTGTATAAAATCAAGCACCTAGGCATGCAGACTGCTTCTACAAACATTTGTGAAAGAATGGGTCACTCTCGAGCTCAGTGAATTCAAGCATAGTACCGTGATAGGTTGTCACCTGTGCAATAAGTCCATCCGTGAAATTTGTTTGCTACTAAATATTCCACGGTCAAACACAACATAATACCCATTGTTTGGTAATCTCCACATCAGACCCAGAGGGTTGCCCCCCCCCCTTCCTGACCAGGCCATATTTTGCTATTTGGCACTGCACTCTCAACTGGTAAATGTGTGTTCATCCAACACTGTACCCAAACAAAATTTGTTTTTTTTGTTTTTTTTTTTCTTCACACAAAGCTTTCTTTTGGTGGTATTTCATCACCACTGGGTTTTCTTATTTTTTGTGACATAAATGAAAAATACTGAATGTTTTTTCAGATTTTATTTTGAAAACTTTTTTTGTTTTTAAAATACATAAACATATATACATGAAAATATCCTAAAAGTGCTTAAAGCAAAAATACAAACAAAATATACAACCCACACACAAAGATAAAACAACCTGGAGCATGCCCAAATCTGCTCAAAATAATAAATGAATGGAAAGGCTTATAATAGCCAAAAATAGGTCCAATGTTACATATTGGACCCATTTTTAAATAAACTAAACAGTGCCACGACAACCAAAGGGGCCTACATCCTAGCTCAAAACTGGACTCCATATGAGCTAGCCAAGATGACCAAATTAAGTCAAACCTCTTTAATGATGTTCTAAGAAATAGTCTCATATGAAATGCACTTATTAGGATTGAATATCCAATCAGGTTCAGAGGGTGCAGAGAAGACCACTTAAGGGCAACTTGCCTTCTAGCCACAAACAGCTCACATAGCATAGTAATCCACTTTGGTGGCTTCAGCAGTGAAAAATCAACATAACCCAATAAACATAAGAGGATCCACTGAGAGATCCAAATCTAATAGCCCATTAAGTGTGCCCACAACCTCTGTCCAGTACCTCTGGAGTTTTGGGCAATGCCACAGCAGATGTATCAAGGACCCCAAATTGCCACAGCTAAGACAGGCCAAGTTATCTCTAAGGTCAATAGCACACAAAAATTTTGGGGTCCTATACACCATATGGAGAATAAAACCTGAGTTAACCTATGTGTAGAGAAAATGGAAACGAGGAGTTAACGGAAGGACATCTTCCCAGACATTATTAGGGATAGGCCCTACATCCTGTTCCCATA